ATATATATATATATATATGCCACATGATTACAGAGTCATCTGAGGAAACCCTCACAGATGCATGTTGTTTTTCACCAGTGATCTACACGGTCAACTTTAATGCCAAGTGGAAAACTGTCACAGGAGCACAGCCTGGTTTTCAAATGAAGCTTTAAGCGATGGCCACGCTCACCATGTTACTTTTTCTGTCCCAAAACATTGCAGTTACACATTTAACAGTTGCATTTTGAGTGCAGGAGGACACACACTCAATATCTGCCCTCTGCTACATGTAACAGACTCACACACTCTTTTATCAGGACTGCTGTCATTTGTCCCCCCTGGAGGAAGCATGCCAACACTTGTGCATAAGGCCTTAATCTTTAATGATAAAACTTGAATTACGTGTTTCACATATGTATTTGATAGCAGCAGCTGAATTATAAGGACATCTCACCGATCCAGCGCAGACACACACGCTGCACAGGCTGCAGCTGGAGCCCAGAACTAGAAACTTCTCCTTGTCAGGACTGAAGGGATCCCTGGTCACAAAACACTCCTCAAGCAACCTGATGGACGACAGAAAGACACATTAACGCTCAATTATAGTTTAATTCAACTTATATACATGTGGCTCACAGAGGACAAACGGCTGTAAATTCAACGTGCAAGTAGCAAAAGGTTAATTTCGTTTTATTTTTTTTTAAATTTTTTTTTTTTTTTTACACGTAGCTGCTAACACATTAGCTTTAGCATAGTTAGCTCCAAAGCGCTTAGCAACGGAGCGTTTTGTTCACTTACACAATGGCTCTGGTGTTTGGTGGTTTCTGGCCGTAGTAAGTGAAAGGGCTACTTAAACCACACAACTGGCAAGTAAATGTTTTCTGAGGGGCTTCACTTGTAGTGTGCTCCATTGTTCAGGAGCAAAGGGGAGTTAGGGGAAAATAAAGTTGTTCCTGGTTTTCGTGTCCAGTGCAGCCATGTTGTTTGACGAAGTTTTACCGCCACCTACCGGACTGGGGGAGCAGAGCAGCGTGTAGTACAATATAGTTATACAATTATATAAAATAAAATTAGTTATTTAATTACAAAAATATCGAGAGATTCTAAGTACCATAGCTAATTCACCTTAATTTATTATTATTATTTATGTACAAATGTATAGGCAACCTGTGAGTTTCACAGTATTATTAATTAATGCATGTTGATAGATATTTGTATATACATTTATATGAAAGCATAGTAAATTAATGTCATAGGTAATTTTGAAATAATATATATAATATTACAGCAAATACTTCAACATGTGATTTAAGGCAAAGCCCAGATGTAATTAATAATAAAATGTTTTAATGGGACACAAGCTATGATTAACATTATTAATTCCACCTGTGCTTCTCCTGCTACACACCTCAGAATATCTGCAGTGAAAAAGGCCTGTTAGCCGATTTATTTGAACAGTGGGGTCTGAATAAGAGAAACAGATAATACTGGCAATGCAAATAAAATTCAGTCAAATATATTAGTTTATTTCAGGCTACCACATAACACGATTCCTTTTATTGAAACAGCAAATGCATTTTTTAAAACAATAAAAAATATAAACCATTTTAATCATAGGAAAGAACGTTTCAGTGCTACATCGGGAGGTGAAGTCTCAGCACAGCAAATGTCTTTTCGAGGCCTATTTTTTTTTACTGTGTGCACATACACGCATCCCTTTCACTGTGGTCACCATATTCTTATATTTACAAAATAGAACGTAAACCAGCTTAACAGATAATTGTGTTTGTGGTCAAAATATTCAATACTGGCCAATGCACTTTTTTTATTGAAAACAATGTGTGTTGATGGCAGTAACACTGATCTGAAAGAAATAGGTTAGATGAGCTATCATGTTGTGTCAGGTTTAACAGTAGAATGCAGGATTAAAATAAATACATAAAACATGGAATTACATATTCAAATGATGGTTGCTTATAGTAGAAGTAAGGCTCCCTTTACTTCACTGCCTACTTAAAATGCACTATTATTCGCAATTTAATATGTAAGAACATTCCCTGGTCCAATACTAAATAGTTATACACCTACTTAATGGTTACAAATGCTACTCTATTGAAGGTATCTGTGGTCAAAATAGAGAAAACATGAGCTCAGGCGCTGAGACATTATGGCACTTGGTGAATACTGATGCCGGTGTTTCTTCAACCACTCATCTCAAAATGGTCAAGGGAAATCAATAAGGCACTAGTACACAATATAAGGGTATGACAACCATATTAAGTCCAAATGATAAATGATAATTTACACTAAATATCCAAAATATTAAGAATATGTGTTGAATTATGGCATCTTTTGCACAATTAACATTTGAGTGGCCTCAAAGGTTAAAAATGTTATAACTTCTCTAACTTGTCTGCTTCTTGGCACCACAACTCAACTTACTGCCATTTTTATTGATAGGCAAATTTGCATTCCCTACTCCCTCTTTAGCTTTTGTTCAGTACTTGTGTCTTAAAAGCCGGCCTCTAGGACCCAATCCGTAGCGATTGGATGCTCCAAGGTCAAATGCATTTAAAGAAATACCTCTACACATCTATGGTGTAAGATCAAAAAGTCTTTTCCCCACCGTGTCCCCCTTTCATGGAAGCAGTCACGCCACCTACAAGAGCTGCCTTTACCCAACATTTTGTTTTTGTTCCAGTAGAAAGTCACATGGTCTCAATGCAACCTCTGCAGATTACAGCAGCGTGCATCCGCAGAAGCTGCACAATAATCTACTCACAGTACACCGATATGCATGATATGCATGCTTGAATGGCATACAAATACATGTCCTTGTTCATGACCGTGTGCTATGTGCTCAGTACATATCCCTGTATATCTCTTGCAGGAGCGGGTGCAGAGACGTGTCCTCTGTTGTCTTGATTTCCTGCACCAACTGAGCATGCTCGGTGACCAGCTCCCGGAGGTCGGCCAGTTTCTGCAGCAGTCTGGGGAAGAGGAAGTTGTCGTCCGGGTGGTTGGCCAGCAGGTGGAGCCGTAGTGCCTGAACGATGCTTTCCTGCAGCTGCTCCACTTGAGGCACGTCCACCAGGCCTGGGCGATCTGGAGGGAAGGGATCAAATAGAGGGAGAAAGAAGAAGAGTGAGAAAAGGGGGGATTAATTTTTTTTACACATTTCTGAATAGAATTAAACATAATTTCCCACATGATGTCAGTTACCTCCACAGCAGATAATGGCAGCCACAAAAAGGGCCAGGTCACTGTCATCCAGCTCCAGGGAGTTGAAGCGTGTGGCAAACTGGAATTTGGGCTCCATCATGTCGCTAAATGGCCGCCGGAGGCTCTTGAGAAACTCTCGGGTGATGAAGCCTCCACCACGGGCCACCAGGAGGCCATCTTTGTTCATGCAGGAAGCCAGGAGGGTGAAGAGGGCTTCGTAAACGCCGTACTTCAAGAGAGTCACCTAAACGGGCAGGTAGGAAGGCCGCAGCATGTGGTCAGATGTGTGTTTTTTGTGTCTCTAACTCCTTTTTCACATTTAAGTAAAGGCCACACTTATCACATGAGCTGACAGGAGGGCAAATGACAGCTCTGAACCCACCTGGTCATTCAGATCCAGGCTCTGGAAACCTGGCACCGCTTTGGCGAACTCTGTCAGCTCTGTGACCGTCTCCACCGAGGTACTCTGGCAGCAGTGGAAGAGCCTGGCTTCAGCCTCCCTCTGCTGGAGCTCCATACACTCACCAGCCGGAACCACCTCCCCACCTTGAAGGCCGCTCTCGGGCTCCGGATAGTCACCGTTTACCATATGGGCCGCTAGCGTCCTCTCTGCCAGCTGGAACGTCTCCATGTCGTGAATGATGAAAGGCTGCTGGGGAAAGACAGAGCGGAGGATGCTGTCAGGTGAAGATACAGAATAAAGAATACATTCTGTTCTTAGCTTTATTTTTTCCCTTTACCGGCTTGCTTGTCTTTCCGGTCAGTATGAGCCGAGCTTTCGCCTTGTTCATGTTGAAGTTCTTCATGTAGGCTTCGTGGATCTGCCTGACCAGAATCTTGTGGTCGTCCAACATGGGGCTTGCCACCTCTTTCTCCACCATCTTGCTTTCTGCCTTCAGCTTTAGCTTCTCCGCCTGAGGCATCCGACCAAACCGGATAGCTGGTGCATAGAAACATTTCTCATTAGCGGCAGCTACAAGAGTTTTCAAATGGTAGGTATCTTATTTTACAGTGAAACTACATACAGAGACATATTTCCGGCTAGAGCAAACATGCATGCGTGTGCAGAAAAACACACACAAACATTCACCCACATTCGACATTCCTTCCCCTCCTCTGAGGACAACATGTCGTCTGCCTCTCAGGTTTCTTACACTGTTCTGTCTGCAGTGGGAGGCCATCGTAACAAACCCAATGACCCCTCAGCAGTCAGTGCAGATGACAGGCCAGATGTGGAGCTATATGGGCCTGTGTTCTCTCAATGTCAAGCAGGCTCCACCAGGACACTGTTCTATAAAAACCCAGTCAATGTAAAGCACACTGAACTGGAGCCAAATCACAGAGGGACTCCTGCTGTTGCTGTACAGAACACATACTGTAACGTCGGCTGAGGACGATGTGAGCAGTTTTATGTAACTGCATGCTTACTTTTTTTTTTTTTAACGTTTTTTTTCATTGCTATAAAAGCGTTTCACTGTACATTAAGATTTCATTAATTGACAGCGATAGGCAGTATACACTTTAAAGTTTTGAAAAATAATCTAACACATTTAACTGAAAGTAAGCAATAAAACACGGTCTTGCTCAAATTAGTACACTCAGTGTTTTTGCTGCTAACTTGGTCTGGTAGTTTATTGTGGCTAATATTAGCCAGTGCTGTGTAACTGACTTTATGACTCTTCTCTGCTTGTACTACTGTTACACTACATTTGGAGGTCGCTGGCCTTACCATTGTGGGACATGCCCACAGACAGGCACTTGTGGAATCGGCAGTACTGGCACTTGTTGCGGTTCTTCTTTTGGATTTTGCAGTTGCGTTCACACTTATCATAATCCAGCTTTAGTCTGATGGTCCTCCTGAAGAAACCCTGGTAGAGACAGAGTGACACAATAAAAAACACACAATAAATACTAATGTCACACCCTCGCCACACTTTTAAACCAGAATTCAGTTTTGCATTAAGCAATGACACCATTCAACAAGCTGGAGAATAACTTTCTACTTCACAGTGCAAGGACACTTTATTTATTCAGTGTACAACACTAGTTTTTCAGTCTCTCCATGCAATGTAGTTCTGAATTGCATGGAGAGACTGGACCCTGTTGTACTTGCTTGCAAGCAGTTATTATTACTAGTATTATTAGGAAACATGGTCATTTTAATACCTTTCTTGAACTCTTATTATAAGATGTATGGGTACCAAGGCTGTGTATTCCTTTACTTAAAACATCGGCTCAGCCTCTAGTTTGCTGACCCTTCTCATGTACAAAACATATAGACACACAGCCTTTTTAACAAGAAGGTTTTTGTTCTTTACTATGCTTTATAATTTTTATTAATGATTTATTAATACTTTCATGTATAAATAATTAGAAATACTGTGTAGTGACCCAAAGACCAGGAAGTCTAGGAATCCAGATTTATACTCATGAACAGGTCATTTTCAGTCACTGAGTCTTTATTGATATCTTTCCTTTATTTGTTTATTTGCCAGGGCCAGAGCACATTAATGAACATGATCAGTATAAAAACACAAGATATGAACATGCTGGAGTTTAGCAAGAATGCTAATTTACATCTGCAGTTCTAAGGCAGGTAACAAAAACATAAACATTACAAGTGACAATATACAGATACAAATATACATGTAGAAAAAGATAGAATACATTGACAGAAAATGTAATGTTAAAGGTCCATTGTGTAACATTTAGGAGGATGTATTGGTAGAAATAGAATGTAATATTCATAGGTATAATTTCATTAGTTTATAATCACGTGAAAATAAGAATCATTATGCTTTTTTAACCTTAGAATGAGACCTTTATATCTATAGATGCCTCATTTGTTGTATTTGATGTCAATGTATAGAAACTGATGTTTGAATCTTTTTAAGTATGATGTTTGTAAAGGAACTATTTTCAGAATATTGTGTTTTCTTGTAGTACTTGAATGTTGAAGTGGCCCTCCTTATGAGATGTCAATACCAGCAGTGGCCCCAAGCCAATCTGAGTCTGGGACCTCTGCTTTACTGACGGCACAGTTTGTCCAAAAGTGGTGCGTAGGAGGTGGGTCGAGCCCACGCAAAGCCTTACACACGTAAAACAAGCATATTTTAAATTCTTTTAATTCTCAAAGCTCCATAAATTATATTTTTCCACAATGTTACAATGCTGTAATAAGAGTGGTTTTTTTTTCTTGTATGGTTTTTCACATGACTTTTAAAGATTGATTTAGAGTCCAGTTTGACCCACAGATACTTTAATTACTAATACTAATACTAATTTACAATGCCAAGCTCCTCCTCTCTCAGGAACCCATTAGAATGTGTCACCTCTACTGGTTGTTTTGTACACATCACACACACTAATATCTATCCATGAAATCTGATCAATCAAGGTCATCAATACCCAGTGAGCAGCTATTCATCTGATATGTAGAGTTTACACCATGTCAGACACCTACACCTGCAGCCCCTTATAATAATGTCCATGCATTCTGTACATTTTAAACCCTGGTAGGACCTGTGTTATATACCATTTTGGATTGGACTATATAGTGGAACTACATCTATATTTAAAGAGAGATATGCTTCAAGGTGTATAGTAAGCTCTGACCTTTCTGGAGAAGAACCCTGATTGGACAAGACATCCTGCAGCCCTCCAACACAGGCTGAGATACAGGGCAAAGGGCCAACACATGCTAACAGATGTCACACATGTGCCAGAACTTATGATCCCTTTGACGTACGCTCACACACACACACACACACACACACACACACACCTTTGTACATCACTGAAATTTCAGTCAGACCGTTCCTCATCCCTCACTGTCAAGAAGGGAATATGTGCTTTCTGGCAATATATACAGTGGGGAGAACAAGTACTTGATACACTGCCGATTTTGCAGGTTTTCCCACTTACAAAGCATGTAGAGGTCTGTAATATTTATCATAGGTACACAACTGTGAGAGATGGAATCTAAAACAAAAATCCAGAAAATCACATTGTATGATTTTTAAATAATTAATTTGCATTTTATTGCATGACATAAGTATTTGATCACCTACCAGCCAGTACTCACGCACCAGGGCCAGAAGAATCCGGGCTCTCACAGGACCTGTTGGTAGGTTTTTTCTTATAGCAGAAGCCTTCCTGTGTCTCCGCAACCGTCTCTACCTGGTTATTAACTTGCACTGTCTTGACTGTACCGTATAGAAAGCACACACCAATCAAGACAGTATCTCCACTCTTCTCCACAATGGGCCAAGGACCAGAGAGCTGCGTAACGGACCATCAGGGAACAAAATTTAGACCTCACAAGGCTCGGGACTGGGCTTACAGGCACAATAGGCAAGCAGCTGGTGACGAGCGCGAAAACTGTTGGCGCAATTATTAGAAAATGGAAGAATTTCAAGATGACGCACATCTCCCTCAAGTCTGGGGCTCCACGCAAGATCGTCACCTCGTGGGCATCAATTGATCCATGAGGAAGGGTGGGCTCAGCCCAGGAACTACATGGCAGGTACTTCGATGCACCTGAAGAGACGCTGGGACCACAGTCTCAAAGAACACCCATTAGTAAGCCACACGCCGGTTCAATGGATTCAAAAATCCGTGCAGCGCAAGCAAGTCCCTGCTCAGCCAAGTGCATGTCCCAGGGCCCCGTCTGGAAGTTGTGCCAATGGACCAACTCTGGACGCCATGTCCAGAGGAGGATGGAGAGAAGCGTCATGTGGTCTATGAGACAAAACATAAGCGTTCTGGTCTACACTCCATCCTGCCGTGTTTGAGAAGCAAGAAGGAGTGAGATAGCAACCCCCAAGACCACACATCCAACCGTGCGCCCCCCCCCCCCCCAAAACCCCCCCGAACGCGGATGGAGTGAAATTGATTCGTGCTTGGGGAGAGTGCTTCTGGCAAACGGACAGGCCACGGACGCACCGTATTTGAGGGGACGGACCTGGATGGGGCCACGTCCCTTCGCGAAGGGATCCTTCGCCCCAACCTCCGTTCCCTCAGTAAGTAGCATTGAAGGATGAGGTTGTGGCTGGGTCTTCCCAGCCATGACCAACAACCCGAAGACAGCACAGCCAGCCGGCAACGTAAGGTGGGCTCCGGGTAGTGACGGATTCTCAACGTCCTGGAGTGGCTTGCCAGTTCCCAGACCTGACCCAATAGAAAATCTTTGCCCCCGAGGGGAGCTGAACGTCCGTATTGCCACAACAGACAGCCGCAACCGTGACAGGATTGGAGAAGATCTGTATGGAGGAGTTGAGCCGAAACCAATGCCCTGCTGCAGTGTGGTGCAAAACCAACCCTGGTCACGCACTTATCAGGAAACCGTGCCTGATCTCTGGTAGATTGCAACACAAACCGGCTTTCTGTACCAAATATTAGCGTTCTAGTTTTTCTGATGTCTCAATACGGATAAATGATAAATGATTTATGATAAAAATTACAGACCTCTACATGCTTTGAAAGTGGGAAAACCTGCAAAATCGGCAGTGTATCAAATACTTGTTCTCCCCACTGTATCTGGAGTCACGCAATACAGCATCAGCCATCATCTTACGGAAGGTCTTGTCTACCTTTATGTCGAAGGTACGTTGTTATTAAGGTTTATTATGACTAACACGTTGCTTGTTTTGTTATTTTTTGAACCGCAGAAAATAGCTTTGTGGGAAGAACTAGCTGTAATCTTTAAATGAAAACACTGAAGGGAGAAATGTGAAGGTCCAGACATAAAAAATACTGCACAAGGAGGAAAAAACAGATGTGTGTGTTTATAGCATGCATGTCTTAACATGTCTGCACATGAATGTACAGACACAACCAGAGGATAGTACTTTTGCTGCAATATAATAGCTGTGAGGTGAATAACAAGACTAAAGACGTAAGCAATAAGTTATTGTGCAATGCTTCCTTAAGGGCAAACGTCTTTTAGAAACACAGTAAGAAGGTCTGAAGGAGAAGGCCTCTTTGTGGCACACCAATTCCAACTAACCTCTACCTACTGAGCAGTTAGAGGTGATGTGATTAACCTTTCCATTACTGAAGGCTTTCTCTGGCTGTCCTGCTGCTCTAAACGTCCCACACACACGTCATACCATCACCACCACAGACTTCGCACCATGGCATCACAGCACATACCAATCATATCCCCACTATGAAGCGCTCCTCTTTTAAAGTGAGGTGTTGAAAATGATATGCGGGGCCTGTCCAGCATGGAAACTGTGATCTGTGACTGCTACATATCACAAGCCAGACTTTTCCATGCTGGCACAATATCATCAGTCAGAGAATTCAGGAACAGAGCGCGGTCAAAATACACCTCTCACATGCGCAGCGTGCAACAGTTCGGAGTTCCGTGTCCCTGCTTTAGAACAGCGGCGGTCTGACATGAGGGCGGACAGGAAGAGCATTATTTGTGTTGATTCTGATGAATGAGATGCGGGTCATAAACCAGAGCCCTGCAGGAATATGACCAGTTTAGAGGCATTCAATAAACACACAGATGTGCATTGTGCAACTGACAGGCCATTCTGCAAAACTTAGACAGAGAAATGTAAATTGTGAAATATTAGCCTCCAGCCAGAATCCATCTCCTCTGTCTATCATAGATTAGAGTGAAATTGAAGATCAGTCCAGAGAAGTGAAAAAGCAGATTCTCTCCAGCAGGGGAAGTGATCAGGGAAGAAACTAAAGGAGAACACCAGTAGCAACTGAAACAATTATGTCTGGATTTCTTAATCATTATGCAGTTGCTGTGGCTTAAAACAAACACAATTTCAAGGTGGAGCTGCAGCTGATGGGAGAAGTCTTTAAAGCAGGAAAGGTCACGAGTTCAAAAGTCGTGCCAAAATAGCAAACAAAGGCTCAGATTAGCAGCAAAAACAAGCCACCGACTTAGAAAGGTATGAGACACTGACTTTCAAATGACATTCTTGTTCTTCCTTAAAGTCTCAAGAATCTCAGGAATTTCAGCACAGAAAGTTTCCCGCTGAGCTCAACAAATCCAGCCCTCAAGGATCTACCATTCCTTTCTCTTATCAGAGATGACTCCATTAGAAGGTAATATTTAGTACTAAACACAGCAGGGCTCCGTGGTAGCAGCAGCTCCAAGTGTGTGTGTGTGTGTTAACGTCACTCTGTGCCAAGCAGGGGAGAGGTGACAAGTCAACCAAGGCCACTGTGTCCCCCACTTCACATGACCTGGCTGCGTGTCTCAGAAACTTTCCACTGGCCTCTAGGTCAGGTGTCCCTGCATGCCAAGCTTTTGATGCGTTTGTGCAAGCATGTAAGTGCACACATACACGTGTGTGCATGTTTGTGTTGTGTTTTTCACCTTTGATACAGTTGCACAACTACACGCAGAGACACCAAAGACATTTATACCTTTGCAGCACGTTATCATCAATCTGAATGGGATCGTCTCTGTCTTTATGTTTATATTAATATCTTTGTATGTCCTTTGATATGTACAATATGTACTGTAACCGGCTGCACTACAACCGTTCCACATGTCTCACCTTGCAGCCCTCGCAGG